GAAATATCTTTCATCGATTCAATTTAACCGGTGTAAATTTTAACACTGGCGATAGATGGAAAATGATCAGTTTCCAGTGATCCCAGCTTCTAAGTGAAATAGCCGATGGTTCATTTTTCGAGGAGAAACGAGCATTGAAAATAAGATAGGGGCATCGTAGGGGATTAATTAGTTTGTCGCGTTGAATATTCGTCGACGTGCAGTTTGGAGAAAATGGGGAACCTGTCTGCGGGTAACTAACAGCTAAAATATTAGGTTATTACACGATTCCGTGATCCAGCGTCACCGTGGACCCTTGTCGCGCGAATTATTCGAGAAAATTAGATCACCCATCTCCACCTATCCCCATTAATAATTTCTTATGCCAACGGATCGGATTTTTCGTAAGCTCGTAGCCAAATACCTCCGCCCCTTCACGAAGATGGACTTTATGCAAATGAGATAAGAAGTAACGAACTTTACTATTTCTCTGGTTTCCTCTCTTAATTTTTATTTTATTCTTTTTAATTTTCGAGAATAATGTATTGTGCTCAACTAAACATTATTTTTTATTTTTTCGTTCCTTCTTGTTTTATCATAAAGGGAAGAGATGTATTTTCGTTCTCCATTTTAATTTTGTTTCCTTCGTTTCTCTCTTTGATTCTTCGAAATATTTGGAGAAGAATATCTCTTTTAAAAAATAGAAAAAAAAAAAGAAATCGAGTCACTTGTTAGATCTAATAGCATAATATTTAGACTGCGAATATTTAGACTTAAATTTAAATTAAATTTAAATTAAAAATTTAAATTAGTTAAATTTTGATTAAACAAATTGAAGCGACGAATCGAACAATTTAGATAAACATTCGCAGTCGAACGGTAAAATAATAAGAGACTAACACACGAGAAATAAGAGGCAGGGCTAGAAAGCCCGTGTCCAGTTAATTTTAAATACCTGGCTGTCCGCAGTATGGTACAACTCAAAGTAAAAATTTGATGACCAAATCGTTCTGGAGGCTACGCTCTATTACGATATTCTCTCCTCGATTGGCGGTTGCGGAGTTAAGGATGCAACAACCGTTCATCCCGTATCAGAGAAACGTGTTGGACATGGTGGAGGAAACATTCCCGCGGAAAGAGGATGTCATGTTCAGGGAGAGGCTGATGGAAAAGAAGGCTGAGCTCGATGACGAAGATAATGTTAACAACCCGACATCCGAAAGAAACGTGAACGACAAAGGGGTTGAAACGAAATTGGAAGAGTTGGAAGAGATGGAAGGGATGAGCGATGAAACTAAGGAGAATATTGAGGGGGAAGGGCCCGAGGAAGAGAAAGAGGAGAAGGATGAGGAGGAGAAAGAGGAGAAGGAGGAGGAAGAGAAAGAGGAGAAGGAGGAGGAAGAGAAAGAGGAAGAGAAAGAGGAAGAGGAACAGGAACAGGAAGAGGAAGAGAAGGATGATACCGAGCAAAACATCTGACGATTGAATACAAAAATTTCGTGGCAAAAAGCAGAAACGATCGATTAATGAAAAATTCCTCCAAATGTGTATATTACTTCACTGCTTGAAAATTGTCAGTGTATTTTTCAAATACAATATCCAAACTGCTATTTTGTTTTAATTCAATTCTCGAATCTAATTTTCCTTCTTCTTTTTTTTTTTTTTTTATTCGTATTTATCGAAATAAATTATCGAAAATTTGAATCCATATTTGCTGCTCGAGGAAAATTTAACGAAAAAAAAGAAAAAAATAGGAAATTGCACGATGCAATTCGGAATAGATTAAGTTGATCAATGGGTGAATGGGTGGCACGCAAGGATTTATTGGAGTAAATTACGTGCCTTATGAGATTCGTACTTGTGCAAATGACACACATTATTAATTGTACATTGTTATGAAAATTTATCACTATATCACTTGTTAAATTGCAATTACGGGAAATTGTAAACAAAAACGAAAAATGGCGATGTAAATTGCACCACATCAACTTAAACGATGAGTGGGATACGCTAGGATTTATTCGAGTAACAATTTTTAATGAATTGTGCACTCCAGTTTTGAAAACACTTTTTTTTTTTTTTTCAAATTACGCGATAAAATACCAGGAAATGTTTGAAATTTTTATCACTTTTCATTTTCAGATTGTTTGATGAGAATAATATTGATCTATAATTTTTTTTTTTTTATTTTAAACAATTCCAATCTCCAATTTCAAAATTGGAACGAAATGGTAATCAGAATTAGAATATGCTCAAATTATTGAAATCGTCAATTTATTTATTTATCAAATTCGCAATAAATGTACTTCTTAATGGTATTCCTTAATTCTCAAAGAATAATTATCAAATCAAAAAAAAAAAAAAATATATATATATTTTCAACAATTATCAACACTCGTTCTTTTCTCAAATTTTATCAGTTTATATTTTCGTCGAATAATAATAAAAATTTTAATTCAGAATTATATAATTATGATCCATAATAATCGCTTTCGATCCATAATAATCGCGTGTTCGTGAAACGTCAATTTTCGATTGCCTCGAGCTTTGTCAATTTGCAAGATTAAATTTTAATCAATGTCAAATTTTCACCCGTTTCTGAATCAAATTTTCAATGGGCTCGATCAATCGTTAACACACCGTGATAAATTCTGATAAATTCTGTCTCGTCTCTCCCTCCTCCTCTCCCTTAGGAAATCGAACACCACTCAAATGGAGGAAGAGGAAGAGGAGGAGGAGGAGGAGGAGCCACGAGATGCCTCCTTTGTAAACCTTTCTCCTCAATAAAAAAAAAAAAAAAAAAAAAA